ATATATGTGTTTTTCTTTTAGATTGGAAACCTCTTGCAGAAACTTGAATCTTGTTGGTGGGCTATCAAAGACAAAAGTTCAAGAAAAATGACCATGTTTGAGTTGTGAATAATTTTGACACATATGGCAGCAGGAGTTTTATTTAGGTTTCCAATGATTTTAACATTAGGCAAGATGCGTTTTTTAAATAAATTTGCAGTTGCCAAGCGAAATGGTTCATTGGGGGTGATTAATGGGGTTTGACTGTATTTTCCACTGTTGTATATGATGTACAGTATGAGTGCACAGTATGTTATCCCTGGAAACATAGTAGATGTATGTGTGTCTCCTTTAATCAAGGTTTGGAAATGATCAACTAATGAAGTCTTTCCCAGACAAAAATAGTCTTTATTCAAATAAGCAATACACACAACAGTGTAATCAATTAACCACAAGACACAGGGATCTATTGGGATCTGATGACTTCTGAGCTAAACTGTCTCTTGAGCTAGAACGCCTCTTGTACCAACTGCCTCCTATGCTGAAATGCCTACCTTCCTTAATCTGACCAGGGGTTTATATACTAAGGATTTGGGGGTAAAATCAGGAAGGGGAAGGACACCTGTGTGCATGTGTGCAGGTGTCTTTTTACAACTTCCACGTGCCAGGGATTATTACGCAGTTAGGGGGTTGCCATGCACTGGGGTTGCTATGTGCGTGTTGTTGGGGGTACGTGCACAAGTCTGTCAGTACACTTGTACTGGGATGGAAGAATATTAATATATTCTTTATAATAATCTATTATCTCTTCCTGGTGTTATTAATAACACCAAAAATATGTATTTGCAGGAATGCAAATATTCTTGCAATATATCGGGGAATTATATATCACATAATTTCCATCAATAACAAGTATAATAGTGTATAGTACCATGCATACCTTTTTAACTCATTATTGAAAGGAAATAAGTTAGGGTGCGCATAGAGTTTGCTGCATGTCATGCTTGATTCTCAAGAAGCACTTTAAAAATGTCTGGCAGAAAGTGTTTCAAATTGAAAAATGTGGAAATTAATTGAACGAAAGTTTATTGCATTGCCTGCTTCAAATACTGGTGTTTCTTGGTTTTCAAATTTTGAGTGAATTCAGCCAATAAAAATATGGAGACTGAAAAATTCCTGTATGTGTCTCAATCAAGGGCAGGTGGTACTTCAGTGAATATGGTTGAACTCTTTGAACTCTTTCCTGGTTTTTAAAATTCTTATTGTGAAGAAGATTGAGAAAAATGTGACTACAACTTTTTAAACCAAGAAGCTCAAATCACTCATGGATACACCTTCAAAAGGGGGATTTTACTTTCAAAATCAATTTCAGTACTATGCAATTAATCTAAAAATTCACGAAAAGCCGAAAAAAGTTTGTTTCTCTCAAACTTCAAAAAATCATGTCCATGAGATTTGGTGAGCTGAAGTTACTCAATAGGGCAGCAGTGTGTCAGCTGCTGATGGAATGTCGATTCCAGAGGATGAGAAGTTATCAAGTGACTGGCAGGTGAAAGACGAGAATGCTTTCAGATGCATCAAATTACGCTTTCTGTTTATGCATTGTTTATTTCTGAATTTTACTACTTTTTATTTTGTTTACCAGCAGCAGGCTGTTGACAGTGTAGCAGGAGTCTGTTGGCTTACTGTCATCCTGGACCAAAATTCAGAAGTATTTTCAAAATTTGCTTCAATCAGTGGTTTTCATCAATCATGTTGTTTTACTCCATCAACCAGAAAAGTATAATAATTTTCATCAGACAGCTCTGACATGAACTTATGAGAGAGTAACACATCTTGATTAAAAATCTCAAAATAAAAACAAATAACTGCCAACACATAAGTTCTTCAGGTGAAATGCCTCGAAGGCCACAGTCATTAGAATATCCTTATCTTTTCTATTTTTCAAGTTTAAAATGCGTTTTTCCTTGTCGCAATCACTTTGCTGTCACAATATTTTCATTCTGTCATTTTATATATGATAATATGACAATGCGCAGTATTTTCTTTTGATTGGTTCTAAAATCAAGATTGAAGCTTATGGAATATATTGATTACATTGAAAATATATCAACAGAATAGCATTCATGAAATAACCACCTAATATGCTTCTCCCACCAAAAATTATTGAATCATGACCTTTAAAAAAGAGTAATCAAAATTACTTTTGTTAGCTTCAAAAAATCTAACTTGAAAAAATTCCTTCTGACTTGATTGATTCAAATAAAGAACCAGATTGAAGCTAATAAGACAGAGTTATCCTTTTAAAAATTATTAGGTGAATAATCCTGGAGATAAGCAAGTATCAATTTGAATTTCACTGCAAACACTTTTGAATCATCCAGATTGTTTCAAAAATAACACTGGAATCAAGCCACTCATATAATTCTGTGTATAACATCTTAAAACTCACTCATTTTGCCTCAATTGAAGCATCTGGCAAGATTGCAGCTAGCAAAAACAAAACAATGATATTATTCAATGCTATGCAAATTTCTGCATATAAGCATTGATTAAGTGACTCAAGTGATTCTGCTCTGACTTCATGAATCATGATAGTGATATAAATTACACATGCTTACATGCAGCATATCTCAGAACATGTTTTAGATCTTGATTTATTATTTCAAGAATCCCAGATTCATGCTGATGACACTAAGAACAATTTTGTGAGCATAATAATAAGCCCTCAAAAGAAAAATAGAATACATCTTTTGAATTTGATCAGATATGTGTGAATTTGCCCAAGTGTAAGCAAATGACCTGCTACACCGCCAACAGTGGCATACTTGGGTGAGGACACGCAGTCTGGACCCTGACATGACCACGATTCTTATATTTTTCTCCTGGTGTAAAACCACAGCTTTGATTCTTATTTTCTCTCAGTAATAGAAGAGGGCATTTTGTGGTGCTCTAGAAAGGCAACCATGAGGTACAAGGAATATACTTTTTTTTCCCTCAATATGACAATGGAATAACATCAATACACGGCAGGATTTACTGTACCATGAAGCACCTTTTTGGTTAGGGGTCGCGTTTCGGCTTTGAGTGTGACACCATGCAAAGAACTACTCTCTCGACGTTCTTGTTTCATTACTAGATGTCGCTCCTGCACAATATTGCGTTCGCTACCTTCTCCGTATACTGAAAAGTGAAGTATTCAGTCAATTAATGGCGTCATAAGCTAATGGATTCGATTCAGAGCATAAAATTGGTTCCATATATACGCATCGTTCATTTTTTTATGTTCTTGGAAGTTTTGAAAATGGAAGAATCACTTGTTTGACAATACTAACATATATGAAAAATGTTCAATTTTTTGAGAGTTTTTCAAGGTTGAAACAATAAAGTTCATTAATGAAATTCTGAGATGTTTCGTCGTCGAAATTCACTTGATTAATAGTTGAGGTTTTTGGAAATGATAAGCTCATGCTGTAAACGATTCAAAAGTTGATTACAAATTTTATCTGGAATTCCATTCTCTTTATCGTAATATATTTGGATGAAAGTCCTATTTTTCAGGGTCTGGATTTTAACGGAATGTTGTCCATCACGTTATCATTCATGGCTCATAAATTTCAACTCAGAAATGTTTCACTTCAATTTAAAAGATCTGTTTGAAAACCTCAGGTTGAAGAAGGAAAGAAATTCTTTGGGCCGGGAGAAGTCAAAACCAGGATCCGGAAATAAATTAGCAAAAAATTAGGATATGCGCAAAAAAAAACATTGAATTTTTATGCACACTTTTGACGTTCATCTCCATGTTTTTCTTTCATATTTTTATATTTTTAGGAGCCTTTCCTTCATCATATATGCATAATATCAATTTGAAAATTGAATCAATTAAATAATAGAATCAATAGAATCAATTGAAAATATAATAACTTTATGAAGAAAACACGCAAAATGTGAAATAGAGGTTTGAAATTTATTGCTTCTGATTGAAATCATAGATTGCTCAACTTCTTGTGGATTTGCAACAAAAAAAAAGATTCCTTATTGTCTCCACCTTGAGTCAGAAAGAAAATTTTCAATATTGGATATTCAATAATACTGAAATATGTTTCACACGTGTTTTTTTTCATTCATGCCCAAAAAAACAGTTGTATTTTTCATTTAATAATTAATAATTTTCAAAAGGAATTTGAAGCATTTTATTCCAGTTGATCCAGGTACATAAAAAATTCTAAAATCTTGATGAGCAATTTCTCTTGAAGTCATTTTGTGTTTGCATGTGTTTTTTCTGTTTTCTTGTTGGTATCTATAGTCAAAACTGGTGTGGAATTTGAGATAAGATTGAAATAAGAGTCATTCCAACTGATTCTTATCTGTCTTTGAGGAGAAGAAATAAATTGGTCATGATTGGCTTGGGATTTCTTCATTTTGCTGTTTTCAGGATTCTGAAAAATACCATTATTTCTAGTTTGCTTTTTAGTTAGGTTCAATGAAGTGCTGGCTTCTGGAGAAAATGGTGAATCTCGAAAAATTTAGTGTGAGTACAAATAAATTACTGTACCATTTGTTGAGTGACAAAGTTTTGCATTAAAATCTTATCTTTATTTAATCTGTTCCCAGGAAAATAATGAAAATTTCAAATTAAGTCCAGTTTAACGCCCGTCCAATTCTTGAAAAAGTTCAAAAAATCATAGTAAATCGATTTTCACATCAATTTAGATTTATTGCAGAATGAAATTCAAAAATTTAATAAACTAAGGAAAATTGAGTAATTTGTACTGAATAATAAATCAAATAAATGGTAATGGACTTTTTGAAAATATTTTGAAAACAAATTTAGTAGATTAAAAAATTAATCTAAAAAACCAAGTTGGGAAGTGAGCGAAATTTGAGTTGCAAAATTTGATCCAGACAAACAAATGGACAAGAAAGCGAGTTAAAAAAAAGTGTTGAAATCATTGCAGGTCTCAGATTGCCTATAGTCAGCCAATCACAAGATTATGCGTAGAGAAAAAATTAATTACTCTTGAAGGCCTAAATAAATACTCTTGAAGGTTTAATTGCCCATTTCCTGATCGCTTTTGTTCACTAAAGCATCCAGTTTCATATTGAGCGTAACATTATTCTTATTTTGAAGTGTGCATTTTATTAGTGGTGAGAATTTATTCTTGTAATCCTTATATAATTAGCTCCTTCTTAGTATCAATTTTAGCGAACTACTGTACTTAAAAATTGTGCTTTCATTTTTATCTTTGTCTGTGTTTTTTGGTGACTTTTCATTTTTTCTTGTACCCTGAAGGTTAAAATCCATGAAGTGTTATCTGGACTTGAGTCAGAATCTTTTCCTACACGTTTCTCAATTTTTGTTGAAGCCTTTGCAAAATTTCCAAGTTATCTTTGAGTTACTGTAATGTGTTCAAAGATTTACAGGTAAAAAATTATTCATTTTAAAACAAAACTTCTCCAAGTGAATTGTGACGTTTTTTTCATGATAATTTTCGAAGACTTCAGTGGAATCGAAAATAAATGACAAATTAGGAATTCGAAAAATGTGAAATTCAGTAATTCATAGATGTCTTGTATATTTGAATCTGTTCGGGAAAATTGCTGAATGATCAAATTTTCCAAGATGAAACGGATTTCTTGCATTGATTCAAATGTTTTGTATTTTTCTCAAAAAGGACTATTGCCTAAAATATTTTGATTGAATTGCCCCTTCATCAGATTCTCTACACCTAACTTATTTAGGAAGCATGAGCATCTGTGTCAATCTTGATATGACTTCAAAAATTCCTTTAATAAAATGTTCAATAATGAAACTATTCTTCTTGCTTTTCTGTTTTTCCACAGAGCGCAAAAAAGGTACTTCAGCTTGCTGAACATTGGCAGATTTTATCATCTCTGGAATCAAGTGAGTTGCTCTTCTAAATTTAAAAAAATCATGCTTTTTGAAAGATATTTGTCATGATGTCCATTGAGGAGCAAACATTGATTTCAGTATCATATGAAAAAAAGTCCATCTTCACTATTTTATGAAAGATGGGTGTACCAAAATTGAACAACTGATGAATATGAACTAATTTCATACTTCAGAACTATTTTATAAATTAAATTTCCATTCATACATCTTTTGTCACCAGGGATATTTCATGCAAATTTATATGGAGATCATGTGAAGCATTCCTAAAATGCAATGAATGATAATTGATGCCATTTTGCTAGATAGTAAAATCAGTCTTAAGTCTTGATAATGTTCTTTGAATTATTGTAATTTTGTGCATATTTTGATCTCTTATTCACAGGAAATGTCAACACCAAATACCAAACACCAAATTTTTGCACTTTATTAAAACCACGTCAGAACTGAATCAAATGACACATATGGAACTCTTTCTTCAGGAAACACTTTGTATGACCATGCTTCTCACTGATTAGTGGTGAGCTCCTATAAAGTTGATCTAAATTTTGGCAAAATTGAAAATAATACTTTTTCACTATGTATTTTTGATAGTCCTTGAGTTAACCTGAGGATTTTGTAGAGCAAGCTCCAAAACTCTAATTCTTCAAGATGAAGACACATTTCAAGACCTTCAAATAAAAGGAATGCATACAACCTTTAGCTCAGCTTGTGAAATTATATCCTCTTCAAGCACACATTAAAACTATGGGCAGTGAAACAAAACTTGTTAGCTACCATGGAATATTAGAAGGAAAGTTATATGGTATCATGCACTGCAATTGTTGCCAACTGATACACAAACAAAACTTTTGCCTGAATAAATGGTGTGACCAAATTGAGATAAGGATCTGCATGCTCAAAAAGAAAAATTTTCAATCCATCAATGTTTTTGACTCAATGTGCTTCAGCACATAGTGTAGTTATGATGAACTGGTGCCTTCAAAGGAATCTGGAAAGATTGTTCCAAGGATTTGTTCATCACTGCAGGTGATAAGATGTAGAGGACGCCACTGGTTTGCGGTGTATCATCACTTATGGAACATGGTATTTGCCTTCTTTCTTGTAGATGTGCTTATTTTCTCTTCTTGGTGACTTATCTGAAAATTTAGAGATATTAAAAAAGATTATCTATCCCTAAGACTCAGATCAGATTTTGAATTATTCAGTATGTTTGAATAGAATTTAGCAGCGAGCTTTTTTTCTGCTTTTCAGCATTCACAAGGTTCAAGCAATGTTCCTGCATCCAAACACCCTCCCCTCCCCAATAACATTCATCCATACACATTCCATCACATCAAATTGGAAAACAGATAAATAAGCTGTACTTCACGTGTTTATTAGAAGAAAAGGAAGTACATCATAAAATGTACAATTGTACAACTCATGTAAATAAATGAACTTTCTTCAGTATGTATATTAGTATAAGTATACAGACATTCCAGTGAAGGAATCTCACCTGCAATGTGACGCATCTGGAAAAAGTAGTCTTTACTGTTATAGTTGCCACCTATAGGTAGCATCCTTTTTTGAGTAGAAGTAATATCTCTGTTGTTGGTGTAGGTGTCACCCAAAGTCTCACTCATTTCTCCACTCCCTCTTCCAATAAGATCTTAAAAAGTTATGATTTTAATTTCAAATGGTATTTGCTCATCTATATGGTATTCAAGAAAATTTCTTACCTTTATTCAGTCTTTCAGGGTCACCTTTCCTTGATTGTCTTGCAGCAACATCTACTTGCAAAAATTTCAATAGCTTTCTCTCTTGAGGATCACTGGATCGTTTGTTCCTTCTTTTTCCTGATGGTCTCACAATGCCATCTGATCCAATGTTCAGGAAGATCTCTTGTGGCTTTGAGCCTGATGTGTAGATGTCACCTGCTCCTCTGTTGTTCCTTGATATCACTGATAAAAAATCAATTTAATTTTAAATATTGGGTCATGAAAACATATTCATTTATTGGGGGCGGGTTATTTTTTTCAAGTCATCGGCGTGAATGGGCAGAAGTGTTAACACTTTGCAATTATTGGAGATGATGTGGTCAATTGAATGAGAAATAGTCAAATCATTCAACCTTATTGTAATTTTTGAAAAGCCACAAACAGCTTCACTAGTTAATATGCTATTTAAGGTTAATGTAGTGGAGTAATACAATAGTTGAAAACTCTGAACTTGTCACCTGTTCTTGGTCTCCTACTGTATGATGAAGACCTTGATTCCTGGCTGTCATCAGACTGATCCCCTGGTATCCTAATAGTGTAGCTCAATGACCTTCCTTTGACTTCTTCATTCCTAGACTTTTTGTAGCTCTGTTGTGCCCCAGTATGATATTGTCCATTCACCACTTTCACTCCTGCTCCAGATGAGTCACTGTCATAGTGACTATAACCTCCTTTCTTATTTGGTGAGACCACAACAACCACTGGTTGAGTGGGTGGTGGCACTGGTGCTGGCAATGCTGCTGGTGGTGACTGTTGTATGGGTTGTGGCACTGGGATATTGATTGGCAAAAGGTACTGCTGTGCACCTGCTTGTTGAATAAGAACTTTTGAGCACCTATAGAAATACAACTGATAGGCAAGTATTTAGACATCATGGAGGTACAGGCATTCAGAGAGAGATGGACAGAGAGAGAGAGATGGACAGAGAGAGAGATGGACAGAGAGAGAGATGGACAGAGAGAGAGATGGACAGATAGAGAGATTGACAGAGAGAGATGGACATAGAGAGATGGACATAGAGAGAGGACAGAGAGAGAGAGATGGACAGAGAGAGAGAGATGGACAGAGAGAGAGATGGACAGAGAGAGAGAGATGGACAGAGAGAGAGAGATGGACAGAGAGAGAGAGAGATGGACAGAGAGAGAGAGATGGACATAGAGAGATGGACAGTGAGAGAGAGAGATGGACAGTGAGAGAGAGAGATGGACAGTGAGAGAGAGAGATGGACAGTGAGAGAGAGAGATGGACAGTGAGAGAGAGAGATGGACAGTGAGAGAGAGAGAAAGAGATGGACATAGAGCGAGAGAGAGAGAGAGAGAGAGAGAGAGATGGACATAGAGAGAGAGAGAGAGATGGACATAGAGAGATGGACATAGAGAGAGAGAGATGGACATAGAGAGAAAGAGTTGCAGGCAAAGAGAGAACATTGAGGACATGGAAAGGGATGCAGAGATACTGAAAGACAGCAAGAGAGACCAAAAGACAGTGGGAAATACATTAAGAGAGAGAGGAAGATACATTAAGAGAGAGGGAGATACATTAGGAGAGAGATGCATAGAGAAAGGGATTCATGATAATTCTTCATATAGTGATTGATAGCACCCTCCTTAGTGCAATATTATATAAAATGCCTCACCACCTTGAAAGAAACCTTGAGACTGTCCAAAGGTGGGGAAAAATTGTGGGAAAGCAGCAGGTGGAGCCACAGCAGGAGAAGGTCCAGAAGGCATGTCTGAAGCAGTAGGAGTAGCAGGTGGAGCTGGGGTCATATCTCCAGTATCCCTCTGCTGGTTACCCATCCCATCTTTATCCCCATCACTATCCCCAAGAGGCAAATGTTGATTGAGTGTGATGTGAATCACTGGTCCTTGAGGACTATTACTGGCTATGATGGCAGGCTGTCTTTGCTGCTGGTAGTGATCCTCATCACTCTGCTCATAATTATTCTTAGGTTTGTTGTATGATGAGGATGGTACTGGTGGTGGTGGTCTCTCATAACTGTTTCCTGGGTTTTGAGGGTACAAGTTGTAGGACCTGTCTTCTGGTTGTACTTCCTCATGGTGGGCCAATTGGGGTTGAGGGTAGTAAGTTTTCAGGTTTGAAGTGGAATCTTCTTCATATGATGATGATGGGGCTGACATCAGTTGGTCTCTGTCTGATGTGTAAAGCCTCAACACTATGTCTCTATTGGTAGCTGGCTGCTGGTCATCTCGCTCATTCCTGAAGTTGAAAAAAAAATTATATCAACTCAATCTTGCATTTATGTAGATAAAACAGTTCTCTAGTTGAATAAACATCTGAACATTGAGAAATGTTCTTTTGTTTTCTCCAAGTTTGATTTCATCATGTTAGAGAATTGAATTGAACAGAAAGCTTTATTTTCTGCTTGTCAGCATTCACAAGGTTCAGTGTAAACAACATTCCGGCATCCTTACCCCATTGACTCCCCACACACATGCATCCAAACTAATGCTATTGCATCAGAATGGGAAACAGAGACATAAAACTGTGTATGGATATTGAATGAAAAGAAAATACATCCCAAAATGTACAATTGCACAGCTGATGGTAAAACATATAAGCTCTCTTTTTTTGTGTAATAACAAAAACAACATGTTTGTAATAGGAATTGAAGTTAGAGATTACAGATGTGAAGATGAATACTGTTCATTGATTAAAATTGTCTAAAATTGTGAAGAAGATTTACCTTTGTCTGCTGCTGCTGTCTCCACCTTCAAACTCTTGTCTTCTTCTATCTTTTGAAGGTTCTTGATGCTGTTGTTGCTCTAGTTGTTTGTTGAATCTTTGAGCAGCTGCCAATCTTTCTTCCAATCTGATCATTTCTTCCAGTTCTCTTAGTGTTGCTGCCACTTTCTTGCGTTTTTCTACTTCACTGATTTCAGGAATGTTGAATATTGAACCAGTGCAGCCAATGTGAATGCATTACAGTACTTACTCGCTATCCATGCCAAATAAATTATTTTGCTGTTTTTGTTGCTCCTGTTGTTCATTCTTGCCAGAATCTCTCCCAAAGGTTATGATGTCAAAATTTCTTGAAGGCAAAGTTGTTTTATCAGGTTCCCTGTTGAAATTTTCAAAAATGAATTTCAAATCTTGTCAATGGAAGTTAGTATATCTTTCATTTCAGCAAATTTTGATTCTTAGCTGAAACTCAACTTTTGGCACACTTAGAAGGTAGCATTTTAATGCTGATTTTTCCTAAATATGGAGCATCTTTTGAGGATTTTGGGGAACAAGGATTCCAGAAGTATTAATTTGTATTTGGGATAGATTTTATGAAAGATTGCAGTTGAGAACAAAATCTCACCTAAATCTTCCGCTTCTGGCTGAAGCAACTTCATCAATGCTTCTTGAAACAGAATCATCCCTTTTGTACTTAGTTAAAAATGGAAATGCCTTTGTACTGATGACAGAACTACCAGCAAGGTCAAAGAGCGAGTCAGAGTTGCGCTGCTGCGACACCTGAGAGTAAATACTCTCATCTGCGCGTTGCATGGGACCACTAGATGTCGCACCACTGAATCTCTGCCTTGCTATTTTTGCTGCTTCTGAGTCGAATAATGATTGCTGGAGAGTTGGTTGTATGGGTGTGTGAGTCAAGTAAAATAATATCAGTGGAAGAAAGGGTCTTGACACCATCTTTCAAATATTTATTTCCTGAAAAAAAGAAACATCATGAACTTATATTTCATAGAATGTATGAACTATTGTATACTTCGCTGTAATTGAATAACTTGAACATTTGTGTATACATTATGATTAAGCTGCATCAGGTAAATGACAGAGCATAAGTATCTTAGAGATTTAAACAGTTTCCCCTCTAACAAAAACAGTAATTTTTCAGTGACTTTGATTCACTAGAATTTTCTACTCATATAGTTGAAAGAAAGCTAGATTTTTCACTTCGAAGTGTGAGGCTCTTTGCAAGTCTTCCTTCTCCCCTCTCCATCTTTTTTGGCACGCCAACATGATATTTGCTAAAATTTGAAACATGTGTACGCTATAACAGTGATATTTTGTTTCTTTCACTATGATTGGGGTTGGGATGATATTACTGAAATTCATTGATAAATTCAAATATTGTATATCATTAATATAACATTGTGAAATTACATGGATTCCTTTACTTCTAGTTCAATATTCTTGCATTTTATTCTCTAAAAGCAAAATCACCAAATAAGTCTGTAAATTTCACTTACTTAAAAACTTGGTTTAGTCTAATTGAAATTTGAGAGGAAATATCAGAAATCAATAAATATGCACTAATTTCAGTGTTTTGATTTTTTTCAGTTCACTGATCACAATTTTCCACCAATATTGGACACATTCAGATCATGATCCAAGTGAAATTTAATAGAGAAATCTGGAAATATTTCAGCTGATTTTTTCACTTCCATAATGTGCTTGATTCCACTTGAAATAAAATTGCAATGTTGATGATTTCCATGTATAATATTTGAATGAGAGCATCATTTTGATTCCAAAATTAGATGGATCACTTTTCAGTCCCCCCCCCCCCCTTGACATACTGTAAAATAAAATTAATTCCAATCAAGTTCTTGACACTGTTGATGTAGATCCACCAAAAGGCCCTTTTTGTAAACACTTATGTAATTGTGGGTCTTAAAATCTTGAAGCTTATCTTCTCTCATGAAGTATGATTTGAACACAGATTATTCAATTTTTTCCATTTTTGGATGGATGTTTGTATCACAAAGAAAGAAATGCTACTGAGACCACTGTTGGAAAAACGTGAGGAAGAACTTTCCATTTCTTCTCCACATCCTTGATGCTCTCCTTTTATTATTTCCTTCTTTTTCCTGTGGATAAAAAAGATGAATATTCGGTATAGTAATGCCGATTTTGCTGAAAAATATAAAATAAAGTAAATGACGATGAAAAAAAAAGTCGGTCATGAATGCCAGGAATCTTGAAGTCGTGATGTTGCGTCACATCTTTGTTTTCTTGATGGATTTCGGTGTCCTCTCAATCGTTAATGTATTTTTTAATGATGTATTTGTTGATGACAAAGACAATCGCGGTGATGATGCAATTGTTTTGTTTGGAACCGTGTTTTTCTGCGTATATGGAATGACGAGTTACGCGTTTTTCTCTTACCCTCTTAAAAAATTTATATTATTTTTTTTCAAATTGGTTTTTTCAGGTTTGAGAAGTTTTGAGGAGAAAATATGCCTGGCGCTACAGTGATGAGTATTTTGAGAAGCCCCATGAGCCCAACTGAGAAGGTGAGACAAAAATACAGCAATGTTTCTGAATTAATCTTTGGGCTTTTCATTTTACATCCAAAAATATGATGCACAAGTTAAGCTTTTGAGTTATTCCAATTCTTCTCAAATTCTTCCTAATTTCCAAATTGATTTTCGGTAAATTATCTCAAGATTGTTCATTTTTATCCTCTGTTCAAAAAGTGTTTCCACTTCTGGAATATTCCTTTCCAGCAGAAAGTTCTCAAAAATGTGGGAAAATTTGGTTCCTTGAATCCAATCAGATGCATATTTTTTTTTATCTGTAGACATTCATTGTACTGTAATTTATACTACCTTCTGTTTCTCAGATTCAATTTTCAACCCTATTTTTTTATTCAAGCAATTATAATGGAGGCAATCATTATAATTGTGTATTGTATCAATTGTGTATTGGACTGTACTAGTGCAAAATATTATAAATTCTGTAGATGTTTCCAGAAAAAGGAATACAATATCAAATTAAATTGTTAAGGATAACTGCAGTACTTCTAGGATATGCACATTAACAATCAGAAATACAGTGGCCCCCTGCCTAACAGACCTCCGGTGTAAGGGATTTTTGCCAAACAGACCAGCTTTGCATGCAGTTTTTCCTCCCACCCAACAGACAAAATCTGCGAAACAGACTTCTTTTGGTTTGAAACTAGTGTTGAAATAACTTTAAAAATTAAAAAATACATTAACTTAAACACATTTGGACTCTGCGTGTAACAGGCTCGTCCATTGCACAAATCAAGTCCGTTAGATGGGGGTTGACTGTATAGACAAAAGATGAAAGTTTGAATGACCTACTGCTTGACCAATGAGATGTTCCAAATAAATGTAATATGGATCTCCCATTTGGAATGGGTTTTTGCCAAAGATTGTGAAGGAAGTGTGAATTAAGTGAAAAGTTAGGCATTTGACCTACTGAGGGACTTGTCAAATGAGCTTTCAGCTTATAGAATTGTAAAATGTTGTCCTGATGAGTTTAATCATCCATATAAAATGCTGGAGTTTATTGAATCATGTTCCTTTTTTTCCTTCAGGATAATTTGAAGAGGCTGGTGAAAGGCATGCAACTTAATTTGAAGGACGTAGGAGTGCCCAATAATAATGATTGGATGGGCCAAGTGCAGTTCTATGTTGAGGCTAGGCTGCCTGGCAGCCACAAGGCTATGTACCATTCCAACCTGTCCAAGCACTTGGGGATGTTGCATTCTGGTTGTGTTTTGATACAGTGTTGCAGATGCAGGTGGTTTGGGCATCGTCCCAGGGCATCAGGTGCAAGCCAATGTCATATGTCTACTCTTGGTTTCTGTAGGTTGGTGGACCTTATTTAATTCCTCCAGCTTGAAGTAAACTGAAAGAAACACCAGGATTATTTCAGCACTCCTTTCAATTGCTTTATGCATAAGTTGTCTAAAATATTTTGATTTTCCTTATTTTTATATTTCCTGCCTTCACCAGGAAACATGTGTGGAGCTTATTTTTAATTGTTGAATGCAATGGTGCCTTGTGCAACATTCATACTTTTTTCAAGCACTTTATGTTTATTGTAAAATTCATTCTCTAAATCTCTTTTCAAATCATGCTAGTGTAAAGAAAAAAATTGCGTGTTTGTACGGTTGAACATTGATAACTCAAACCTCCCTAAGTCAAATACCTTCCAAATATGTTTATTTTTTCAATACTATGTCTAAATTCCCTTGAAAACATTGCATTAGAAGCCTTAACTCAAGGAATTTTCCCCCTAAAACTTCTAAAACACAAATTTTCTTGAGGCCTCTTGGCTATTATTTTATTCACACAGAAAAGAGATGAAAAGAAATTGAAAGGATGTGTTTTGACTTTTGAAAGGAATAGACTAATGGAGCTAATGAACCTTTGCCTCCAACTTTAGCATCTTAAAAACTCATTTGGAAAGCAATTATAGGCCCAGAATTTCACAAATTTCATTTTATTGTGTTTTGATACAGTGTTGCAGATGCAGGTGGTTTGGGCATCGTCCCAGGGCATCAGGTGCAAGCCAATGTCATATGTCTACTCTTGGTTTCTGTAGGTTGGTGGACCTTATTTAATTCCTCCAGTTTGAAGTAAACTGAAAGAAACACCAGGATTATTTCAGCACTCCTTTCAATTGCTTTATGCATAAGTTGTCTAAAATATTTTGATTTTCCTTATTTATATTTCCTGCCTTCACCAGGAAACATGTGTGGAGCTTATTTTTAATTGTTGAATGCAATGGTGCCTTGTACAACATTCATACTTTTTTCAAGCACTTTATGTTTATTGTAAAATTCATTCTCTAAATCTCTTTTCAAATCATGCTAGTGTAAAGAAAAAATTGCGTGTTTGTACCGTTGAACATTGATAACTCAAACCTCCCTAAGTCAAATACCTTCCAAATATGTTTATTTTTTCAATGCTATGTCTAAATTCCCTTGAAACATTGCATTAGAAGCCTTAACTCAAGGAATTTTCCCCCTAAAACTTCTAAAACACAAATTTTCTTGAGGCCTCTTGGCTATTATTTTATTCACACAGAAAAGAGATGAAAAGAAATTGGTTCCTACACAAAACTGAAAACTTTCCTTATCTGATTACCTCGATTACTTGGAAACGGAGGTTGAAATCGTAGAATTTTTGAGTAAACCTTTCGTTAATATCCGGGTCTTAAAGTGTTTAAAGTAAAATCTGTTTTTTTTCTTTCCCCCAAACAATTCTTGTTTCACTAACTTGAAATCTCCCCTACTCAAAATTTTTGTTTGTCCCTTGAAGTGGCTCAAAGAGGTTCAATGGCTCAAAGATTAAAACCAAATTTGTTCTTTACTGGAGTTTGGTTTGTATCTTGATTTTAAGAAGATCACACCAGACATTTTTGTTCTACAGAATGTTGATAGTGTAAGGTGTTCATACTAAAAGTCATCACAGTGGGTTTTGCTGATTAAGAGCTCATATTTTTTTCATTTTTCTTTTTATAATAACCAGAGAAACTCCAGATGGGAAGCATCAGTTTAAAACATTTGGTCCTGGATTGAATTCTGAGTCAGCCAATGGCTTCTTTCAGTTCAGGGAGTACAGGGCTGGCCAAAAGTTTTGTGTGGCACTGGACTGTGAGATGCTGTACACTACAAATGGGGAGGAAATTGGGGCTATAAGCTTGGTGGATGACTATGGAGATATCCTCATCAGCGAGTATATCAAACCTGTGGGAGTGGTGAGAGTATTGCTATCCTGATTCACTGGAATAATTCTGAGTCAAGGGTACCATATAAACACCTGTTACTTGTATATATATATATATATATATATATACTGTAAAATGCCATTCTGAACAGAAAAGGGTCTTTTAATTACAGAAGACTTACCAAACTTTACCTGAGGAGATATTCTCAATAACCTGGTTCCAACCTGTAAAACATGGTGGATTTAATTTCATGTGAATTATGAAAGGAAATAAGTCAATAACTAATGACTTTTCTGGTCTTTTGAATGACTTTGGATGTGTGGCAAATAAAATTTTAAATACATTGGTTCAATTGTTGCATCAGAATACAGAAATGGGTGCTTGCCTTATTGTACTCCTGAAATCTTGAGTACTAGCTTGACACCATCATTTCAGCAATTTCCAAAAAGACTAAATACTAATTAATACATTTGATGTGGATTCCTTGTGCATTTTTTTTATTCCTAACATTCAACCATTTGAAATCTAAAAGTTATAAAGTAGGTATTTTCAATGCAGGTGACAGATTACAGGACTGCATTTTCTGGTCTGACAGCAAGCTTACTCAGCAGGGCGCTTTACTCAGCTGAAGATATTCTAAGAAAGATGCAGACCTACATTGGTCCTGACACTATCCTTGTGGGACATGGCATTGACAAAGACATGCAGTGTTTGAGGGTGTGCACCTTTACTTATATTGTTTTAAGATAGAACAAAGCTTGTAAACTCTCTGAAGTATCAATTTCCTATTCTAAATATCTAACTCTTAAGCAACAAGAAGTCAGAAATTGGCTATTATTTTTATCATTCTGGATATTGTGCCCCAACATTATGACTTGAAGAAATTGGAACCCTCATTAATTTGAAAGTCATAGTATATCACTCAAAAAGCAACAGAACTTGGTATTTGCTGGTATTTTAAAAAGAATTTCATGTATGTGTTCACTTATTCAAATGTCCCATATTAAACACAGCATGGAAAACTTTAATCATCTTTGCGAATGGAATAAAATTCCAAAAACATTTGTGTGAAAGTTTCCAAAAAAGTCTACATTGGTAGATTCCCTCAGCTCAATTACTGACACAGAAAAAAATCAGATTTAAATATTGAAAAACTTTTGATCTTGTATAATGGCTGAGGATAACACCGCCCTTTGATGCATAATTGGTTTTTTATTCGTTCAATGTTTCAGCCTGTTTGACAGAGTTTTAGTTATCGTAAAAGCATTGTCAATATATATATGGCCAGTGATCACTGATCTTGTCATTATAATAATTACAGGTTCTTCATCGTAATGTGTTTGACACTGGGGTGGTGACGCCTATTCAACCCTACACGGGTATTAATAGGCGGAAGTCCCTGGAAGTGCGGGTTCGAGAGGAGTTTAGTGACTCGACTTTTAGGGCTAGTGGTGGGCCGCATAACTGTACAGACGACGCCCAGTACTCCATGGCACTGGCGAGGGTCGATGCTGGAGCGACGAAGCGTGGCTTCTTTTAGAAACCGCACCGTTTATTTTCGCTCTAGTTTGACCAGGTGTCGCTCTTTATCTTGCGTTAGCGATTTTTCTCTGGCCAATGCACGAAATGTATTCGGGAGGGATCGAATGAGTCTCCCAGCATGATGATCTTACGTTTTTGATATCCTTCGAGTGAAATTTTGTTGAATTCTGAGGCGCTGTGTTCAGGAATACTTGAGAATCTTCGCATTTTCACAAAGGTGTCGCTCCTTTGTATGGTCTTGGTGGTATCCACATTGAAATTAAGTCTCATATCAATAATTCGAAACCCTCTCATTTTTAAGGCCTGTCACAGCTACCAGGCAAATGTTGTATGTTTTTCATGTTTAACGAATTGATTTGTACAGTAAATAGGTGGTTTCATTTGTTGCAAATTTAGTCAGTTGTTCTGAGAAAAAAAGTTAATTTTTCAAGCTCTGCTTGTATCTTCAAAATTTAATCTGTCAAAGAGAGTGCCAACATTAAATTCATTCTGCCACCAATTCAAGTTTTTTCAGAAGCCAAAACTTGTCCTTGGAAGCTTCTGTGAAAATTGGGCTTCACCCCAACTCCAACAGGAAGCTGTAAAAACAACCAATGGTCATAAAACCTTCTAATCTTTGGAAACCAAAAACAGCTGGAAACAGAAAACAGTTAAAATGGAAACTCAATATCTAAAACAGCAATCCCAGTGATAATCTTCCATATCCTTGGAGGATAGTCTTCCTAGAGATCTCTCTCTAAAAAACTTCACTTTAATTTGAGCAGCATTACTGCTGAGAACCCTCAAGTACTTGGCGCATTTTGAGACTTGTGCAAATTTAGCCAGAGAATACAACAATTTTACAATAGGGTGCTGTTCAGTCACACCAGTTGTAGTCCAAAAAACTCTTGTGTTTTATTCAATCTTTGCATTTGTCAAAGCTATTCTTGACATCATTTGTTTTATGTATTTTCTTAGGAACTTGAATAAGACAGAAATATGCCTGGGGAAAATGTGCTGAAAACTTTGAGGACTCCATTAACTTCCACTGAAGAGGTAAGATTTCAATTTCCTCACATTTCCAAGGTATGACTGTTATGAAAAATTGAATTGAGACTCTTTGGCTTGCCATTCCCAGATTAATTTTCTGAATACACAGAAATACAAGGCAGAAGTTCTCTGTCTTGCTCAAATTGTCCAAATTTACTTCAATTTTCAAAATGTGCGGAGATTTGGAAGTATTGTATACAATTCCAGACCTACTCTGGTATATTCCATTTTATGAAATATTTTGTCTTTTAATAAATATGCTTCAACTTTTAGTCAGAGCTCCTTGAGTTTATTTTCTAATGCTTGATGTTCTCTGAAAAAGTCACTTTAAACAAAGTCACTTTATCAAAAACTTCAATCAATTTTAATATTTGAACAAATACAGTAATTGGATGAAGATGAAAAATGCTAGAAATCTTTACAAAATGGATCTATAATAAGCAAGAACTTCATTACATTCCATAGAAAATATGTTTTTTAGAGGCTATAAACAATGAGATTGAAGATTTCATCAGACGTTATTAAAAATTTTTTAGGATAATTTAAGGCGTCTGGCAATTAAAGAGATGCAACCATTCTTGGCGGACATTGGGGTACCATCAGAGGAACCATGTGGTACCAAAGTGAGGTTCTATATCCAGGCTAGGATGCCAAGTACCAACCATGCAATGACCCATTCCAATCTTGAGAACCAGAAGAAACAAGTGCATCTTGGTTGTGTGCTGATACAGTGTCGCCAGTGTAAATGGATTGGACACAAACCTCTTTCTAGGGTCAACATTGGTCAAAGACAGAGTAATTGCTCTAGGTTGGCTGCTCACAGCACCTGTAGGTTGGTGTACTTTTTATTATCATCACATTTTAAAATACTGCAAAACATTCATGTCAGCTGTATGTTAAAATAACCTATCCTTGAGGCAGGATGTTCATATATCCTTATTAGAATAGCTGCTGAACTCACTTTTGAAAACACCAAAAATGAGTAAGCATCAGGTACCTCATAATTGTGTTACGCTTAGTATACCGGTACAGTGTTTGCTGAATTGTAAGAAAAATCTTATGAACACTAGCTTACTCTAGTAAATATGCTGGTTAGCAATTGAAAACAAAATGCAAATATTGCCCATGTGTCAGGAAATGCTTAGTAAACAATGCATCCTGATGCATTAACATAATGGCCTTGAGGGACACATCACAAAGACATGTGTTGTTGACTTGAACTGTGTGTGTCCCAATGTGGCCATGTTCCCAAGCTTCCCAGCATAAAATGGGCAGCACTTGACACAACATAGGACATTTCAGCATTTTATATAGTAGCACATGTTGGAAAAGGATGCAGGAATCACCATTAGCTCCTCAGGCATCTTCAAGGAATGTGTTCAGGAGTGCAAAGCATGGCATTTGTTGACTTTGAGTCCAAATGGAATGCAAAGCAAATTCCAAATAATGATCATGTTCCCCAATACTCCCAAAACATTGAAAGCACCAAGTCCATGTCCCAATGAAACTCAATACAGTCAACCCTTGCTTAACGTTTTTAGTTGGTGCAGAGGAAAAAAGCGCTAGTTGAAAAAAACGTTCAGCAAGGTAGTATCTCCCTCAAGATGTAAGGGATAAATCTTTAATTGGTGTTGGGCAATATCTTTTCAATACCTTTTAATAATAAAAAACATGAACATTTACAGAGCTTTCAGGTGCATAATTTTTTAAAATTAGGCCCATAACAAAAAGTCTTATGCAATTTAAAAATGAAACATTGTGGCTTGATTTTCAAAAAAGTTTTGTTGCTTTTGATTATATCTCCATCAATTCTGAATATTTTTGTGATTTAAAAAAATTAAGGAAATGTTAAAAAATTGGAAGCGCATCTAACCCTGTTTCAAGTTTGATGTTTGGTGCCATGGAACTGTTTTTATAAATTTTGAAATGTTGAAAAGCGGGACTAAAAATTTACAACATCAACTTTAACTCACAATAAATTCTTCAAAATCAGCTCCATTTCAAAATGTTTAACAGGGCTAGAAGTGCATTGAAGTTTTACAAATTTAGCTATATTTAATTTGGGAAAAAGGGTAAAAAATGAATCATTTGAAAATAAAAATGTAAAAAGATTTTTTCCCAATTTTGGTTCAACTTTCAGAAACATTTTGCGCTTTTCATGTCAACTCCATCAATTCTTAATATTTTGTAAAGTTTAAAAAAAAAGTGTGGAAAACTTCAATGCGCACGTTTTCTCGTTTAAAAATTGAAGTTAACAGAATGTTAAGCAAAATTCCGAACGTCAAGTGAACAGATTTTTGGGCTTACAACTGGGAACATCAAGTGAAAAAACGTTAACCAAATGGAACGTTGTGCGAGGGTTGACTGTAGTCTGGATTATTTTTCTGAAATATTCCAGGCAACATGGTCACAATATTCCTTGGAATGGCTTCATTAATGTTTGATTTAAAAATCCAGGAATAGTCATTTTATTTGCGTAAGTGCACTTGAAAAGTAGTTAGTAGTAGTATATTAGTAGTAGTAGTAGAGATGGTTGTATGAAAAGGTGCTGAATTCCATTATCATATCCAAAAAAATCAGACGGAGTCCAGATGGGAAGCACCAGTTTTTGGAATTCGAGCCAGGGATGAATGTTGTGCCAATTGGTAAATTCTTCAAGTTCAACGAGAGGAGGGATGGTCAAAAGTTTTGTGTGGCACTGGACTGTGAGATGGTGTATACTACCATTGGTGAGGAGGTGGCTACTGTGTGTTTGGTGGATGGCAATGGGAATGTCCTCATCAAAGAGAACATCAAACCCATGGGTGTGGTGAGTTATGAAAATACTAAAAACCAAAGGCGCTATAATACTGAAATTAAAAGTTTGTACAATTTTGCTTGCACCTCTTTCTTACAGGTGACAGATTATAGGACTCCATTTTCTGGCCTGACAGAAAGCGAATTGAATGAAGCAGTTTATTCAGCTTCAGAAATTTTGAAGAAGATGCAGGACTATGCTGATACAGTGTCGCCAGTGTAAATGGATTGGACACAAACCTCTTTCTAGGGTCAACATTGGTCAAAGACAGAGTAATTGCTCTAGGTTGGCTGCTCACAGCACCTGTAGGTTGGTGTACTTTTTTATTATCATCCCATTTTCAAATACTGTAAAACATACATGCCAGCTATATCTTAAAATACTTATCCTTGAGGCAGGATGTTCATATATTCTTGATAGAATAGCTGCTGAACTCACTTATGAAAGCACCAAAAGTAAGTAAGCAGGTATCTCAGAATTGTGTTATGCTTAGTATACTGGTACAGTAGTTGCCTAATTGTAAGAGAAATCTTATGAACACTAGCTGGCTCTAGTAAATCGGCTGGTCAGCAATTGAAAACAAAATGCAAACATTTCTCATGTGTCAGGAAGTGCTAGTAAACAATGCATCCTGATGCAGTAGCGTCATTCCCTTAATGGTCACATCACAAAGACATATGTTGTTGACTTGAACTGTGTGTGTCCCAATGTTGTGAGGAAAAGATTAACAGAGGACTTTTCTTTTACCACACAAAAGGCAGAGAAATGAGAAGTTGAGAAAATACAAAATTTGTAATTGTTTTTCAATGATCATGAGAAAAAATTCAGTAGATTAAAAAATTAATCTAAAAAACCATGTTTTCAAAAAGCAAAAAATAACCTTAAACGTGGTGCGCATGGAGATTGTTGGGAAGAAGTGAAATACAAATGAAATAGATGCGCACCACATTTAAGTTTATTTTTTGCTTTTTGAAAACGTGGTTTTTTAGATTAATTTTTTAATCTACTAAATTTTTTTGTGCTTTTTAGTCTTACTTGAAAAACGTGGTTTTTTAGATTAATTTTTTAATCTACTATAATTATTTTATTCTTTTTAAAAAATATTCTTATAATTATTCTTTTCACAAAAGATTGCATTGTCATCAGTTTCTAAGCTATCCTGAAAGTTTCAGCTTGCTAGCTAGTCAGGAAGTGAGCAAAATTTGAGTTGCAAAATTTGATCCGGACAAACAAACGGACAAGAAAGCGAGTTAATAAAAACGTGTTAAAATGAAACGCAATTCAAACAGCCAGGCTGCGGCCAGGACTTGTTGTCCTAGTTTAAAGTGTTGTATTGTTCAAGACAGGTTCAAGTTGAGCAATTGAAAGAATTTCACAAGTACAAAAATAGAAGACTGATTTTGGAATTGGTTAAGATTCAACGCACAAATTTTGCAAGAGTTCTCCCAAGATCTGTACAATTTGAGAGTTCAACGCAGAGTGACAGGACTGTGGTTTTTAGTTAACCTCAACAACTTTTAGGATTAGAAATGAAGGCTGGATTTTGGCCACTTTCATTCTTCTCCTTTTTGCAGTGAGGAAATGTCCTTGGGTGAGCCTGGGAACCAAACCTGGGTTTGGTTCTCAGGCTCACAAAAAAAGCGTCAAGAGATTTATTTAATTTTGTCTGGTGCCTTTTAAAGTATTGCAAAAATTACTTGAGGGTTTGAATTTTTTCTTGACAAATGTGGCCATGTTCCCAAACTTCCCATAAAAGCACTTCGCAAAATAGGACATGTCAGCATTTTATTTGGTAGCACATGTTAGAAAAGGATGCAGCAATTACAATTTGCTCCACAAGCATCTTGAAGGAATGTGTTCAGGAGTGCCAAAAATGGCATTTGTTGACTTTGTGTCCAAATGGAATGTAAAAGAAATTCCGAATCATCATGTGCCCCAATAATACTGCCAAAAGATTGCATGCACCAAGTCCATGTCCCCATGAAACACAATACAGTAGTCTGCTTATTTTTCTGAATTATTTAAGACTACATTGTCACACTTTTCCTTGGAATGGCTTCATTAATATCTCCTTTAAAAATCCAAGATTAGTATTACTTGTTTTCATCTGAAATGTTTCATGATTATTATGTCACATGCTGAACTTTTACTTCAACAACCTTTGAGTGATCAAAGTTAGTGATTTTCTTAAGCAGTTGCCCCACATTCAGAGAACCAGAAAGCATCAGTTACTCATATTTTGAGCAAAAGGTTTGACAGTTTTTTCAATGTAGTCGAATTACTTCAAAAAGTTATTACACATAATCAAGTTTCCTTTTGTGAATATATTCGGAAAACATAAAAACATTTGTTTTCAACATAAACTTGGAAACTCATCCTGCAAGAATTAAATTTTTACCATGTTCTGCAAGTGCACTTGAAAAGTATTTAGAAATTACTGTAGTTCTTTGGAACACTGTAGGAGTAGAGTTGGTTGTATGAAAGGGTCCTAAATTCCATTATCATATCCAACAAATCAGACGGAGTCCAGATGGGAAGCACCAATTTTTAGCATTCAACCCAGGGATGAATGTTGTGCCAATTGGTAAATTCTTCAAGTTCAACGAGAGGAGGGATGGTCAAAAGTTTTGTGTGGCACTGGACTGTGAGATGGTTTATACTACCATTGGTGAGGAGGTGGCTACTGTGTGTTTGGTGGATGGCAATGGGAATGTCCTCATCAAAGAGAACATCAAACCCATGGGTGTGGTGAGTTATGAAAATACAGTACTAAAAACCAAAGGAGCTATAATACTGAAATTAAAAGTTTATACAATTTTGCTTGCACCTCTTTCTTACAGGTGACAGATTATAGGACTCCATTTTCTGGCCTGACAGAAAGCGAATTGAATGAAGCAGTTTATTCAGCTTCAGAAATTTTGAAGAAGATGCAGGACTACATAGGGCCTGATACTATCATAGTTGGACATGGCATTGACAATGATCTACTGTCTTTGAGGGTGAACTTTCATCTTCACTTTTTTTTATCAATATAGTGTACATCTGTGAAACTATCATATGAAAACTGTCAAATACATGAGCTCTGGATCAGAATGGATAGGCTATTAAACTTGTCATTCTCTGAAGCAAATTTCCGATCAGAAACATATAAAGGCATATACGCTAGAAGTCATGTTTTAATTTTGTCATTCCAACATTTTAACTTACTATATATTTTCGAATATGCATGAAATTCTGATGATCTGATACTGAGTTTTTTTTACTGCTGTATAATTGGGCTTTGAATCTACTGTTTATCAATGTATATAAATAACTATTCTGTATAAGATAAATTATTTCAGAGTTTGAAATGCTTGAAATAAACTTTGCCATTATTCTCAATTTTTACAAGTGTCCTACATAATTTCATTAAAAGATATAAGTCTTGACATTTTTCATTCAAAATCCCATGGATTCTGTTTTATTATTTCTTTAATTTGTATAATGATATTTGTGTACAAATTTGGATGTACTGTGCTCAAGTTTGGTGTTGATAAAACCAACAGGACCCTTGAGATCATCTATGGTGTTTTGAAGATGTTATTCATGCTTGAAACCGACGCTTGGGTCTAGCATTTGCTGAATCGTTGCTGGTATCAATATCTCATTTATATATGACAATAATTGCAGATTGTTCATTCCAATGTTGTGGACACGGGGCTTGTGAGACCATTAGTGTCTTATACTGGTACAAATAGACGTAAGTCTCTGGCATCCCGTGTGCAAGACGCATTCAATGAAGATATAACCGTCAGGGCAAAAGGTGGGCCCCGTAACAAAGCAGCAGAAGACGCCCAGTACGCCATGGCTTTGGCGCGGGTTGATGCAGCAAGCGACCCTGCGGCGCGTGTATGAAACTCTTCGCCGTTTGTGGTCACATTATCACAAACAGATGTCGCTCGATTGAAACCTGAATAGGAACGTCTTTCGGGAAATTGACAAGATTCCAGTCCAATGAAGAGATTAATCAAAATAGGGATGCTATCGGGTGATTGAAATATTGGAATGCGGATTTTTGACTCGGGGGAACTGGAAATATTTCCAGACATTTAATCGATTTTCGCGCAGGTGTCGCTCCTCTTCGATCTTTGGGTATTTTTTAGGCAGCAGTGTTGTGCTGTATAGCTCAGTTTTTTGACACACATGGATTCTTTCGAAAAGGGTTATATTTTAAACTCATTTGCTGACAAATTCTTTTGAGGTTCACATTTCTAAAGTTTCATTTTCCCCAACTAATTCGTCAACTAGCGAAGTCTTGGTAAGAAGCTGCTTATATTCGTGTTTTCAAATTTCTAAGACTCGGACATTCGAATTTCCTCTAAATTCTCGCCTTTTTCAAGAAAAAATGCGGGATTTAAATAATTATAAATCAGTTCTGACGATTCAAAGAAATGATCGAAAAGGCTTTATAATTTGAATGGTTTATTGTACTTTGTTCTCAAAGTATTTTTTTTAGCCAACACCAGTTACTAATTAGTTGATGAACTTATCATTCCAATGTTGATAAACCAAAATTCAGCAATGCTAAAGAAAAAAGTGTTCAAATATTCCAATCATATCATTGGCAACTTTTCTGACGTGGAATATTTTCACAATTTTGATTATTTTAAAAGGCATTGAAAACAGCCCATTTTGACCGTTGTGTTTTTTATATCAATCTGTGGTTTCAGACATTGGCTCTAAATGTTTGCCCAAGTTGAATAATACGGATGCTTCATTTTTTTGCCACATTTTTTTCTAAACAAAAACAACTTGTATTTTGCGGGGATTATCCATGTCAGAATAATGCAAGGAATCAAAAAGGAGTTTTTGAATGTCTATTCCTACAAGTGAATTGCAAGATGTTCCTAATGGAGATTTTCAGTGCAATAAAGTTGGGTCTAACTGTAGCAGGAATTCATTTTCATTTTGTATGAAACCTTTTAAATGACACCCAGAAATGTGGACACATTGCTTATGCAGGTAATTTCTGCAGGAAGTAAAATAATTTTAAGAGTAAAAAAAACTCACTTTCTAAAGTTCAAGAGGTTATTCAGCTTTTTTCCCCTGAGCTTAATTATTAGCATGTGACTTCCACTTTATTTTATATTCAGAAAAAATACAAAGGGCAGAGTCAAGTAAAATATACTGTGCACAGTACAGTATTTGACCTTGAAAAATAGGTGCACAACTGTCAAGTTAGCCCCTTTCATTGTATCATTTTTAAAATTCAATTTTTTAAAGTGATCAAGTCTTTTTCCCTTTTTGAAAAATAATCTAGGGGTACTGGAAATGATAAATTTCTCTGTTAAGTAGAAAATGGAAATGCATCAAGACCAGAATTAATTGATTGATGATTTTCAAGATACAGTATTCATAAAAATGGTAATTACCCAAATCTACCCAAACAACAACAAAAATCAAGCTGCTGATTCCTTCATTCAAAATTCATGGGAAGTCTTTCTCCACCAAGAAATTTATCAGGAAATCCCTAATGACATTTGAACAATATTTTTCACACACTCTTATAATAAGTACAGTGTAATAATGAAGAGGATGAAAACACCTCAAAGTGCATAAATGGTGAAACCCCCTGAGGAAATGTGAACCATTGTGGCAATGGAAGATTGTGACCTTCTTTCTTTGCCAACTCTCTCTTTCAACATGAATGAACCTCCTTGGGGACTTCACTAAAGTTTCAAAATTGCAATACTTTCAATTTTAAGCAAGCGATTCATTGATAGATTCCTTCTTTATCTTCTAAAGGAAAAAATCTTTGATTCTGAATTTCCTTCCAATTAAATTTTCACCATCCACAGTTCACATGTATTTTTAAAGTTCAACTTCATGCAAATTGAGACATATCTCTCTAGTTTCAAATATAACCAGCAATTGTTGTAAAACTGTGTGCCATCGAAAGTGTTTGCTCAGTGCTCACAAATTGTTCCTAATTGTGTTTCATGCAATTTAAATTCTTGAACCCATCTGATAATAAGCCACTCAAGTTGAAATTTTTCATGAATGATACATAGCCAAAATTATCTATGAGATTTTCAGAAGGTCAGTATATATAGTTGCCCATCGAATTTTTGTATTTTGCAACATTTCTCCAATTTTTCCTACAACATATACTGTATAATATTCAAATATGGTTGTAATGGAAGAAATAACCAAGTCTTCAATTTTTTTTACAGATATTTGGCGTCATTTTCTGCTTTGAGGATCAATTGATGAACATGGAATTCTTTCATTTCATACATGTGGCAGCAACATTTTCAAATAAATTAGAGTTTGAAGTAAAGTACTGTTCTTATATGTCTTGAAATATTTGAAAATGTTCTTGCAAAGTACAGTAATTTTGTGAAGTTCCTCAGAGTTGTAGAAACTCTAAAAGTACACACATTAAAAATTAAGTAGGATATCAACAAGCGGAAGTCCCTCAAAGTGCGGGTTTGAGAAGAGTTCAGTGATGAATCTTTCAGGGTTGGTGATGGGCCACATAACAGTACAGACGACGCTCAGTATTCCATGGCACTGGCGAGGATCGATGCTGCAGCGACAAAGCCGAGAATGTTTTAGGAACCGCGCTATCTATTTTCAGAAAAGTTCGACGAGGTGTCGCTCTTATCCCACATCTCAATCTCATTTCTCGATACAGCAGTACTGTATATCATTGGTCGCCATGGTCGGACGAATTAGATGTCTTGCGAGTCTTCAAGAGTCTCTATTACGATGTTATTACTTTCTCGTAATCGTTCGAGTGGAATTATTGTTGAATTTTGGCTCTGTGTTCAGAAATACTGTATTCCAGGACCTGTGCATTAATTTTCCGGAAAGGTTTCGACCCTGTATGGGGAGTCCCATTTGGTACAGTATAGAACGTGGTGTTCATTTCGTACTTTTAAAGTCAAACATGGTGTTTGTGACACACCCGCCAAATTTTTTTCAGATACTCGCTCAGAAGGACCTTTGTCAACTTTTATAGTTCGACATGAGCCTGGGACACTGTTGCTGATGTGCATTTGGCAAATTGCCTCAGATTGAAGTTGTCATTGGTTTGTGCTTTGTTTCATGCTTCGAAGGGATTGAATGTCTTTGGGGGGAGTTGGGTTGGGTGGGGAGGGGGTTTGGATGCAGGAGTCTTGGTTGTGCCTTGTGAACGCTGAAAAGCGGCAAATAAAGTGTTTTGTTCATCATTCATCATTGAAGTTGTAACATTTTTGTACAAGTACAGTATATCTATAAAAAATCTGGGTTCTGCTGTTTCACTAGAAATTTAAAAAAATCTTTTCTTGAGCATGAATTTCATGCCTGAACTGCAGGGAAGCTTCTTTAAATTAATAGTTGGATTTGTTTCACTATAGCTCTAGTACTGATTTGTGCAAATATTTATCATTGAACAACCATTTTTTAAATGGGAACTTTACTATAAGGCTTAAGTATGGGATGACACCATGATCACACCCTTGTACTATTTTGGAATGTCACAGAAAAACAAAGTAAAATAGTTGTCCTGTGTATAAGGGTGTCCAAAAAATTGGCTTATACTATCCCCAAGTGGGGAAATTGGTGCACACTGGGGATTTGTTCGTAATTCTACACAATGACCCTGCTGTGCACCTGAAGTGTACCAAAGTTCTTCTGTTGCACATGCATATCCCCAGTGTGCGCCAATTATGTGTTCACACCAGGATTACTGAGGGTCACATTTGTAAACAAATAAGTTACACCAAGGTTACAGTTGGTGCATTGGTTTGATGCTCCTGTTATTTCACATTTGTGCACCAAGTGTAACCCTGGAATGGTAGCAAAATTTCCTCTACAGGAGTGCACACTTGTAACCCCAGAATATCCCATATGCACCAGTTGTGACCCTGGTGTGCACCTACTGTGGGGTCACAGCAAAAATAGCTCCCCAGTTGGGGAGTGCTGTTATACAGTAGTCAAATTGTGCAAAGGCTGCTGGTTGGATGCATTATTCTAATAGTGACACGCATTAGTGTTTGTTGGTGCGTTGATTTTACAGGAGTGACAGGGAAAGGTCTCAAAAGTATTGTTATACATATATTGTATCGTCCATCTATCATATAAATCAGAAATGTGTGAGTTGAATACATTTTGCATATAAAAGAGTTTATTTTAGTAAAGTTTTAAAAATTTTCTATGGATTTTGCATTGATTATCCAGTCACAAGGGCCATCATCAAGAGAGCCAGAGTCGCTGCTGCTTTGTTACTGTGATACTATGGCAACTACAGACTGCAGTTGCCATAGTATTATATGCATTTTATATGCAGGGCCAGCCTAAGGCGGGTGCAGCGGGTTCACAGCAGACAAATAGCGCCTTGCTAGGGAGGGGGGGGGGGGGCACAAGAACCAGGGCTGACCCTGGCAGTGGCAAGAAGGGTTTGTGCGCCTGTATGGTGAGGCGCCAGGTACCCCATCATTCAGGCAAAATATTTTACTTGCAGAAATCAGGCAACGGATGAAAATCAGCAGTAAGACAGGAAGTCTAAGTGATTCAAAATCCTGAGTTTTTCCCTTCTTCACAAAAATTTAGTGCTTCCTGCTCAGGATAGGGCACACACTGCAGTGTCTTTGCCTGAACTGTAATATATTAGGTCAATCCCAGGGATACAAAATTTAACCACTTTATTCCAGGGCTTGGAATCAAGGAAGCAAATTTAAAAAAAATAATGAACCACTTTCCACATTATTATCATCAGTCTGCTTGAGAGCTTTATTTGGAGTGAAGTGCTGTGCATTTCCTAAAGATTTCTGCTGGGGTGTATAGAAATGGGTGTGCTTATTGCTGAACTATGGAAAAATGCAGCTTTTTATTTTTGAGACAAATAGATAATTCATAAAATAGTTCAACAGAAACTCTCCAGGGATTTTGCTCAGGAATTTCCAGTCTCCTCCTAGGCTGATTGAATTGTTTCATTCTATTTAATTTTCCTCTGAAATTTCAATGATTAAAAAAATTCTTTATCTTTTATCCCTTGTGTTGTGGCAATTTATTCCCCAGCAAACATCACTTTCAAATCACAGCTTAGTTTTATTTTATTATTGAACCCAATTTGCAGGATAATCATAATACAACTTTAAATAATTACAATACATTGTGCATTTCACCTGAAAATAAATCAAAGAAAGCATCTGGTGCCCAAAATCAAAGAAAAAAAGCGGCTCATGCCACAATACTGTGAAATATCCTTGAAAAGTATTTGAAAATCTTAAATTCAAAGCCGTTGTCAAATACAAGATGGGAAAGTAGGACAATGCCATTAGACCTTGAAAATCCCAATTAAAATAAATTTTGACAGCTCTTATAGAGATTCATCAGCTAATCCCTCCAAAGATATGGATACAAGAGTTGAGGTTAACTCATTGATATTAAAATTAGCAAGATGTAGGTTTCTGTGCTGCCCTGTGCTGCCTTTTTGTGTGTCATGAGACATGAAATCCTGAATAAAATTAATGTTGCTAGCAAGATTTTGCAAAGTGAAGGCACCAACTTGTTTGAATAAGCTCTTGCAAATTTGAAACAAGAATTTTTGAATGATTTTAGGTCAGACCCATCCTTCGATGCAATAATTTGTAGTGCAACTATGAGAGCTGAAGAATCGGAAATTGAATCCTCATTTAATGATAATTTAGAAAAAGGGAAGATTTTTTTGACTAGGAGTCAGAAGAAAATTTTGTTAAAGAGGTTAAGTTAACATTCAAAACATCTCTCTTTCTAATGATTATTGACTCTGCACTGATTTAAATTAGGGAAAGATTTCAAATGTTGAAAAATTAAAATACAATATCACTTTTCAAAGTTTTATTTCAGATAAATGTGCTGTCTGATTGGACAGATGATGAAACCCTTGGTGATTCCAAAATAATAGAGGAGAAGTTAATCA